GTGGGCGGCGTGGGCGGGGGCAGCTTGGGCCTCAGGGGCAGGCTTGGCAGCCTGTGCTGGGGCAGCTTTAGCCTCAGCAACAGGCTTGGCAGCCTGGGCTGCCTTTACCTCAGGAGCAGGCTCTGCAGCTTTAGGCTCTGCAGCAGGCTTGGCAGGTTTTGGTGCTTCAGTGGGAGCTAGTTTGATATCCTTGGCTGCAGACTTTTCACCCTGTTTAGTAGCAAGGGGTTCATCCATAGGCATTGTTGACGGCTTTGTTGGTGGAATAAGTGGGGGCATCTCATCATCAGCAGGAGGCACAACTTTTGGCAAGGCTGGTTTTACTGGACATGACTTCGGAGGACTAGCGGCAACAGTATCTGAAAACAAAGGTGTTGCTGCTACAGGAGCCTTAGGGGTAACTTTAGAGGCAGCAGGATCTTCTACAGCCTTGGTAGAAGATTCCATTGCCGGGACAAATGGCTCTCCTTTCTTTGCTTTTACTTGTTTACTGGCTTTGACAACTTTGGGGGTGGAACGGTCAGCCTTATTAGCAGAAGAACCAGCAGGTGAAGTGGCTAGGGGAGAGGTCACAAGGGGGGACCGAGGTGTTGAGGAGGAAGTAGACTTTGGAGAGGTGGGCGAGGCAGATGAGGCAGACAGAGAGGCCCGCTTCCTTCTGCCAGGAACAGCCTTTGGGGCAGAGGATCCCTGCATGCCCTTGGCATCTTTGCCTTTTGGCTTTGCAGGGCCTGAAGGCAACCCAGCTTGTTGGGATGAAGCTTGGGCAGGAGGTGTGACTGAGTAGAAAGAGAGATTCCTTGAAATGTTTCGTTGAAAATGTTACGGTCTTTTGCATGCCGGTTAGGGGATTTTATTCCAAGTCCAAGGTTTTTTGTTGCATACCATTTCTCAAACGCACAGTGCAAAAAAGCTGATTTCCACACAGGTACCAAATGTTTAGTCAGATGCAAATAAAACAAAATGCAAAGTACACATCAAAACTATACACCTCAGCTCACTTGCACAGCAATTTTCAACAATTTGCTGCCCCAAAAGGAAGCCATTTCCACAAACTACATCACAAATGTCCCACCAATGACAGTGCAAGGAAACACTGGACTCATGGTTCATCGTTGTTTATCATTCTTCAGACTCCATCACTTCAAGTTCAGAAGAACTGTCATTAGGTTCGTGAGTGTTAGCCCCAAAACATTCGTTTGGAGAGGCAATTTTTAAACAAAACCATTGAAATTTTTTGTTCATTTCCTTTTATCGCAAAAGAAATCTATTACCCTGTCAATGTGTTTGCACATTCTGTTCACTGGGCCATAACTTAGTAGCAAGGAACACAACAAAAATGATATTTTCCCAAAAACAGTGTTTGATGAAATCTTGTTCATTTGCTGAAATAAGTATGTGTGCATGAGGCCTCATTCCCACGAGCAGCATTGCAAGAATAAAATGGTGAGCTAAAATAGATTGAACCAAATAAAAACAATAGATCAAAAAGCACAGCTCCTACGCTTAAAAGTGTAACGATGCAATGGATTCTAAAAACTTGTGGAACAAAGTTAAGTCAAAAAAAAAGAAGAAGAAAAAGAACCATATTGGAATTCACTGTATAAAGTGGGTGTAGAGTAGGGTGTAGGTGTCTACCTCCCTTCAGCATTTTACATGTAGTTGTGAAGAAACAGCTACTTCTGCACTGGTATTTCTCTGTTGTTAGAAGCAACTAGAAGGGTTGCAGTCACACCCAAAGCTTCAACAAAGGTTCCACTCACTCACAGATGAACGCAAATGTATTACAAAATAAAAGAACATGTTTGTACTCAGGACCAATTTGAGGCTATAGTGTAAGTCAAATGTGATTTGTTTTTATAACACCACCATGTATTTTTTTTTAAAGTACAATGACAATTAATCATTTGGTTTAAAAGTCGAGGCCACACTAAGACAATAAATGTCACTGTTAACACAATGTAACTGTTTCCTGTATAAATATGCATACTGAATCACAAGTATTGACCACATTTTTTACCCTACAAACAAGTCAAACTGTTTAAAACATGAGCAAAACATTAGTGATTAGTAAAAAAATATGTTGTTTTTAAAACCAGGTTTCTACACTACATTAAGTTATGGTCAACTTAGCAAATTTGGATTAGCAAAACATTAGCAATACAAAGATTTTACTGTAAACTCCTGAACACAGAACAACACACTCAACACCATGCACTATGCACTAAATGCAGGTTTTGTGTAAGTGCCAACACTCCATTGTGTGAGGCTGCACAATAAAGGGGTCCTGGACATGTCGTTCCCAACCAGTTACAGCTACATCACCACAGTAAATGGCTCAGTTAGCAAAACTACTGCTACAACACAGCTGACAGTCAAAATAACTGTCACCTGTTATTTCAGCTCAGTATCCAACCGGTGGGGTCAACTGCGTGACCTAACTGTTGATCCAGCCATTCAATACTATATAAATACCTACAATAGTAAATTCTTGGTGGACCAATTTTTAATGTTCTTAAAGTATTCCAGGATCCCCTTTGAGCACAATACTGCAAGCAAGCAAAGTTATATACATACCAGTCTCCACTTGAGGCTGCTGCATCTCCTGCTCAGTAACAGGAACCGTTTCTGTGGCTTCACCAGGCATGGTTGCTGAACAGAAGAGATAAGGAGAAGTGTAAACTTTTGTCTTATTATTATTATATTAAACTTAAACTATATTACAAAACCCCCCAACGGATATCACGTTTGTAGCCATATACTATGCAGAGTATGTATTACATACAGTGTATGATTGTTAACGTAACTAAACACAAAGCAGATGAGACAGGTGCCAGCGAGCAGGTCAACAAACTATTTCTATACATCTGACAAACCTGGGCTTAATCGGTAATGTTGAAAACAACTAACTGTACAGTCACACATCAAGATAAGTCATTGGGGATATGCTCAATACATTACATTTTTAACTTTCTAACACAAAATGTGACCCCATGTTACACGATTTCACAGTCGTTGAGTGTTTAACTATGTTGGTCTGGATCAGACCATATGCGGCAGATGTCAAAACCATGCTTTAGCTTGAACTCGGGAGTGCAGTGTTTCTACTAGATGCTATGCTAGCTGCTTCTACTGACCCGCGGAGAACCGACGCTACTCATTAAAGTTAAGTTCTCTTTACGTACACGCCGTTAACGTTTGATCTACATTTAAATTTCACGTCCTCTTTCTCTGCCCTGACAGACAGCTAATATGAACTTAGTCATGTTCAACCATTTTGAGCTATTGATCAGCGAAACAACGGAGCCGCAATCGGGGTACAGAACGGCGAAAATTGAAAAATAACTAAAATGTACCGATGACAAGTCTTTAACTCAACACAATGAACATTTGTTTCACACGGGATGTGAACAAAAACAGTCAGATTAGAATGGATTGTCAGCAGACACACTTACCGAGTAAGGATGCTATATCCAAGATGGCTGTGAGAAAGAAAGTCTTGCCCCGGCTTCACGGCAATATCCGGTTTACAGCATAGAATCCCTTTTCCGGTTTATTTAAAGAGACAGTGCAACGGTTATACTTAGGGCAGGAATATACCGTTGAAATATCAAATTTATGTACGCCTTGCCTATTTGCAGTTAAAAAATATTTCCAAAATAAACCATGTTAAATTCTAACTTTAGACTCTACCGTGTAAAATACATAAGACACAGATAACTTTACAGTACAATTATAGCTGACAAAATCAAATCTTCATCAAAATTCACAAGGAGAGCCTTGCTCTGAAAACAGTGAGTGGAATCACCCACAGCACCACCTGGTGGCAACAGGAAGCATTTTCAACCTTGAACTATCTGTTCATTTTTGTTTGACCATCAGCTCGATTACAGGTTTATTCAATTCGGATTTGGTCAGACAAACCATCACGACAGAAGTATCCTTTGGTTACCATTATCCCTTAATCGTATAAAATCTCCACTGTGATCAACCAGTTATAGAAGTGACATTTGCTAAAAAATAAGTTGATAGTTTTAAATTTGTTTTAAAATTAACTAAATAATTTTAGTCTTGACTAGACCTGGTAATAAAGAGTATCAGGTCATCTGCAGTTTATTGTTACACACTGCTGTCTATGTATAATAATAATAATCAAATATTTTAAAATACATCAATAATTTAATTATTTTAAAGGAAACGACATACACACCAGCAAAGGTTGGGCAATAAACTGAAAATATTTATTTGGTATTTGTCCTAAAAATGACAAAAACACACAACATGAAACAATAAAAGGAAACTCAATAACAACTCGTTCTATGAAGTTCGACATCCAATTGCTGGTCCAGTTCAGAAGTCTTTCTCGAGATCTGAAAAAAATCAAAATAAAAAGTTGATATGACGATGAACTATAAAACACAACTTTTACAGATAAATCTACAACATACCACTTTTTCTGAGAAGTTCTCCTTTCCATGAAGCAGACAGTCCATCTAGGAACTGATCAAAGTATTTCACATACTTTGCCAGACTGGTGCGTTTGTAATCTGTGACACATTTACGGCCGGGGTGAGAGTTCAAACTCACGTGACTTCATTCTTTACAGGACTGGTCAACATTTTATAAAATAAATTATGAAAAAAGTGTAAATTGTGGAATATTATTGATCATAAATCTGGTTTTAACCTCTGGTCCTTCGTCTCTCCGTTACATCTCCTTGTCCTCCTTGGGAATCTACTTGGGAAGAGGAGTCCTCTAACTCCTCTTCCCCCAGTCTGGGCCGATCAAGCTCCTCACAGATAAGACTACAGAAAGAAAGACACATTAGAAAAAACAAACAAACCCTACAGAAAGAAAGACACATTAGAAAAAAAAAACCAAAACAAACAAGCCCACAGTGAGGAACGATGAAAAAAAGTAATGACTAACCTGATTGTGGGCACAGCAAAAGGATCAAAACTGTCCAACTCTTCAAAGTCAATGGGAACAGATATCCGTCCTGTACAGAGAAGTGACATCACAGTGAGGGGCAGGTCCTCCATAAGTGCTGTTAATTTAATGTCACACAAACTAATTTCTGTCTAAAGTCAAGCTAAATAAAATTAGCTTGAAAAATTTCAGAGGATGAAAAGACTCTCCAGAAGTCCACAACCCAGATGTTTGAGCTTCTGTCTCTCTGCACTTTATTTTTAATACTTAGAAGTTTAAGTTAAGTTTATACAAGTGAACCAAGCAAAAATCTTCATTCCCTGTTTTGGACTAAAGATGCAAAAAGAAAATAAACAAATAAATGTCTGTGTGAAGACGAGCAGAAAAGGTCCCTGATGAATACACACCTGTTTTTGGGTGGACGCTGAACGGACTCTTCAACAGATGGTTCACACCTTTACTGACGTTCACGTCGAGCCGTGGGTAACAGTACTGCAGCATGATTTCTTTCTCAAAGTGCTGTCCCTTCTTGGCAGAGGCCTGAAGTGAGAAAGACATCGTTACTGAGCTGAAGACAGTCCAGGTGAAGACGACAGAGGAAGAGGAGCAGCAGGAGAGAGGAAGACAAAGAAGGAGACAAATTTTACACAAAAGAAGAAAAAGAAACCTCCTAAAACTTCTGCTAACAGGCTAACCTGTTTCTTACTGGCTCGATCCTTCACGTGTCTCCATCGATTCTCCGGTTTCCTCTCATTTTGAAAGTCCTGCTGCAGATCATTCCGAACATGTGAAAACCCAGTCAAGGTCACAACGGAAAATTCTTTTAAAGTGGACAATATGTTTGTTTTTTCTTTGTAATTTTAGTAACAGTTCAAAGGATATCCTCGGGCACCAGGGCCAGCACTTTGTCCATGGACTCCTTACGACTCAGTATCTCCTGGTCCTGAAGCGCATACTGGGTGAAGTATTGCTCCACCACTGACAGAGACTCCCTGTGGAGATGGTGCAGACACTTTGGGTTAGTTTCAAATATTGGCATCTTGCCAAAAAGTGTTACGTTAGTTTGTCACATACGCTGTTAAATCCCCTCTATTTACAATTTTTTTGTCTCTGCAAATGTATGGTTGTACATAGAAAAGTACAGAAAAGAAATAACATTTTTGAGGATTTTTTTTAACGTGAAGTAAAAGATAATTTTGTTTCATGATGATCTTTACAATGAAAACAAACAGGTTCTTACGTGATAAAGGGATGAAGAGGATCTGTTAACACCACTTTCTTCATCACGTCGTCTCCACCCTGGGAATCAGAAATATTAAAGTTCCCCTCTATTTACAATTTCAGTTGTTCCTCTACATCATCAGCGACATCACACACACACACACACACACACACAATGTGATCTAACTCAGTATGTTACCTTCACCAGGCTGAGGTATTCGGCCACAGCGGAGCGTGCAGCCACTGAGAGCTTCCTGGCAGCTTCATCACACACCCAGCAATGCACTCCTCTTCTGCCAGAGTACACCCACAGAAGGTGCTGGAACCCAAAGTCCTCTGGGATTATGACAAGAGACAAAGATAGTCCTCTGGGATTATGACAAGAGACAAGGAAAGTGTTCAATGCCATTTTCATAAAATAAAAAATAAAAAAAATTCATAGTGTTTAATGCCATTTTCATAAAATACTTTGCAGAGTGCAGACAGTGGAGCCTTAATGTGACCAACTGACCTCGTAGAGAACGGTCCAGGATACGAACTGCGATGGTCATCAGAGTCCAGCACTTGGGACAAATGTCTGCAGCACTAAAATTATATTTTTTTAGGACAAATGTCTGCAGCACTAAAATTACATGATTTTTTTAAATTAAATGACAGGCTTTATTTAAAGTAGTCACTGTGGTAAGAATCAGCAAAAAATAAACCACGGATCATTTACCTGCAACAGCTTCTGACGTCATCATAATCCGTCATATCGATGTCAAACACCAGCTCCTTCTCCAGGGCCTGGAAGCTTCCGGACTTGACCGTGTTGTGTTGACTTGGCTGTGGGTGAGAAACATGGTCAACAGGTGGCGACACTCTGACCTGCTGGAGTGACGTCAACAGCACTCCGGTGTCTCACCCTGTAGTTGTACACTGCTCCGATGTCAATCTTGTACGGGTTCATCTTCTGGATTTCCTTCTCCAACTCACTCTGTGTGCTGAACGACTGGTAGCGGACATAGATGTCATCCTTCAGGGTGAAGGAGAACTCCCGATTCTGGAAGTAGTTCTTCTGCACTGAGAGTGGGCAAGAACGCACAATTTACCAGTGTTTACCTGGTGTTGACGTTAACCACATTCACCAACACATTATAGCCATTTTAAAGTAGATCCTTTTCTATTATTTTACGTTAATAAAGTCAGCTACTGCCCCAAACTCACCGTCCTGAAGGCTGGAGTTACTGTTTCGACCCCAACATTACTGCCATATAATACTACATTAAGCTAGGTTTAACTAACTAGCTGGTCAACAAGTGTTAGCTAACTACGACACTGCTGAGACGATTCACGCAGTTAAGTGGAACTCATCAGAACCGACGTGACATGGTTATTATATCAGGGACGCTCACCTCC